AATAAGTAAACCTGATCTCCTTTTCCAATTTGATATATCTATGCCATAGTAACTAATTGATAGATAATACGTTCAATGATTCAAATCCGTTATCTTATCTGAATATGTTAAACAATTGACTGGAACATTAAAAATATCACACACTTTCAATTACATATACATTCCTCTTTGAATTCAGTCTTTTATTTTGTTTACTTATCTTATTTATTTATCTTCATTTAATGCAGGCTGTGGCATTTGTAATTCATTTCATATATAAAAATGATATGTTTTCTTAATATACACAGACCGCAGTCAATATTTAGTTGATTGAAATTTCTTCTCACATCACTTGCGTATAAACACATTCTGTTGTCTTAACACTTTTTGGTTCCATAACACATACCTTGTCCTTATGAGTACAAAAACAATTTGTCATAACCTTGAATTTACTTTGTAATCCTCAAGTCATTCTATGGCCTAGGATAACACGACAATTTTTTCTCATTCTTTCCCTTGATTATTTTCAAATGAAGTTTTATTTGGTTGATCTTTATTATTATTTTTCATATTATTTTCATATAAACATGTCTCTTACACATTAATACAAATACCTATTTATAAAAAATCCTTCACGTTGATTGGATGACTTATTCAGTATACAGTAAACGAAGAACCATGTACCTATTTATATTCGATAATTTTGTTGTTTGATTATATTTTCCTTGAAAAAGCTTGGACCAGATTGCCAGGCGAAACGTTGGATTTACTTAAAATTCATTCGCTGAGATTTTACAAGTATATTGTACGTGTTAAGTTTCACATATAATGAATTCTCTTTACTTGGCGCCTATTTTCTCTCATGTTATTCGTTCTAGGCTTGGCGAATATTCCTATGTAGAAATACTTTAGTTTAGAAAGAAAATTGACTACTGAATATTAGCAAATAGTATAAAGCGTTTTAGAGAAAATGAGTTAGATTGGGAGAGAATGAAGACTGGTAACGCATATTGTCTTATCAATATGCGATAATATGGAGGTTTTGTAAACATCATTTCAATATTGGCCCTCAGTTGATGCTTATTCCTCGGGCTAAAATAATTCTCTTTGAATAAGTGTTTGAAGAGTATTTTCTTTTGTAAGGGAGTTGTATATCACTAGACTTTTATTTGTAAACTCTCAGTCAGTAAGCAACAACGTAGAACTTCGTACGTACGTACATCAGTTCGAGTTTGCCACACCACATTAGCACGGAGATACAATTGTCAATTCAAATCCCGTAGTGGTAGGGTAGTAAGAGTATAATCAGTAATTGGAAAGATTAGGGTCTGAAGATGTTATTCACGGAGTATAGTCCAGTGAAATAAATTTGGAAAGAGAAGAAAAGGGATATAAATCCATAAGATTAGAATTTGGGAGAACACAAAGAGTGGATGCACATGCGCCGTTGCGAACGATTTTGAGACATGTCATCCAAGGTCTCTTTACCATCTGTTACTATCGTCTTGCTGATCCCAACCAGGTAGTCTACACCTCCCAACATGGCTCAATTCACTTGTCAGTGACTTCATGGATTTGTGCCATGTTTTGGTCTGGCCGCCCTAGCTTTCTTCCAACCTACTCCTACACCATAAAACATCGCTCGTTGGGGGCAGTCGGTGGTTGGGCATACGTAACACATGTCCCAGTCTTCTCAAACTATGAAGTTTCACTACTTCATCAACTGCTTTGCTATTCTTTCCTGGTACCTTTTTCCTAAGAACTGCAATACTTACTCTGTGGTTCCAGGATATACGAGCAATGCTTCGAAGACGCCTTTGATCGAATACTAATAACCTACGAATATCCTCTACTCTTACCGGCCATATTTCACAGCGACAAAGTAGGACGGAACGGACTGCTTCGCAGTAAACACGTCCTTTGGTTGATAGACGGATATCTCGCCTACGCCATAAATGACGCAAGTTGGCAAAAGCTAGTCGAGCCTTCTGTATCCGTGCTGAGATTTTGTCACACACCAGACCACAAGGGTTGATGAGACCCTCTAGTTCACTCCCTATCATTAGTTCGGGTGTCTATGCAACCCTATCCTGAAGTAACGTTTTGCATTTCGAAGGTGAGAATCGCATCCCGAACATGCTTACATTGTTGCTTAGAGTGGTCAGAAGACTCTGCATTTTGTCAGCGTCTTCACCAAATAGAACTATGTCATCGACATATTCAAAATCAACAGCTAAATCTCGGTAGAAGTTCAACTCCTGGAAATTTAGATGAAGAAAGTGTTATCTCTAAAAGCACGTCAACGACAGAGTTAAACAAGAATGAAGAGAATGTACAGCCCTGATGAACACCACTTGAGGTAATCAATTCTGATGACAGTTCGCCATAGGCTCTCACTCGACCAGTTGTGTACAAGTAGAGAGCCTTTACAACGTTCATGTCATTCTTTGGTACTCCTTTTGTAGTGAACAGTACACCAGCGGGTACAATCGAATGTATTTGACATGAAATTACAGAGCATCTCACTAAAATCTGAGAACCATATAGCAAATAGTTAATTTGCAAAACATCAATCCATCATCTCGAACTTCACTTTTCCTGTTGCAAACATCAATCCATTGTCTCATATTTCATTGTTCATGCGTTTTCATACCCTTTGCGTTTCGTTCCCTATCATCGACCTTCTACTGAAATATATTTTGTGCTTGACGACTGTTGTATAGTAGTGTGGATATAAGTAACCCACACCATACTTTCAGTGACAAACACTGCCACAGAACCTCGCGACTAACAGAGTCAGATGCTGCCTCAAGGTCGAGAAATAATACCATCGTGGGGCGTCTGAATGTGTGTCTGTGTTCTAGAACCTGACGTAGTGTGAGTATCTGATCTATACAACCACGTCCAGGTCGAAAACCAGCCTTGTTTTCTCTAGTCTGCTCTTCATGAGCTTTAGTTAGGCGTCGAAGTATTATTGAAGTTAATATTTTAGACACTATATTAGTCAAAATGATTCCTCTGTGTTTGTCACAAGAAGACTTTTGTCCTTTTTTATGGACTAGCACAATCAGTGATTGAGACCAATCAGATAGGATTACGTCCAGTTCCCAGATTCTACCTAAGACCTCAGTCGATCTCACTGCCAATACTGGACTGCCATCCTTGAAAAACTCGGGAAACTTGCAACAGACGGTCGCCATTTTTTGTTCTTTAAGTCACGGCACCATAAGACCCACTCAGGTGTCTTTCCTTTTCTCTTAGTTTACCTACTTGAGCATTAACGTCACCAGCCGCTATTACTACATCAGAGCGCCTAATTTTTTAGAGGTCAGAAAGCTTTCTGTAAAACTCATCTTTTACCTCGTCTGAGCTGCAGTCAGTGAGAGAGTAGGCCACAGGAGGTGGCATCAGGGCTTCTAGATACATGAATAGTGAATTGAGATGATTCTTTATTTTGATATGAAGTCAAATGAATGGCACTACTCGGATCCTGTATGCGCGTTTTGGATACGCAGCATACATCGATGGCACGAGATTCTAAAGTCCTAGCTAAATAAGTCTGTTGTCCTATTTGGCACAGTGTTCAGACGTTTAAAGCTCTTACATGAACCTGAGAAAGAATTTGAATTAGTATTGGTCTTAACGACCTGGAAGCGTGACCGCAGAGCCCAAGGGACAACTGATTGAGGCCGGTCACTCACGGTCTTTCTTTGGGATTTTTTAACATGTTAGCTCCGTTATTCAAAAGACCTTATTTTTGGAGACGGGAATCCGTGAGGTGTGATATTTTTAGGGTCGGTCTTTTCTAACCCCTTCCGTCCTTGTGTGAAGGCAGCATCGCTGCAAATGCTGGTTCCCCGAGGGAAATACCTTACTGCTGTCACACCCCTCTACAGTTGGCGGTATGACTTCACCCTCAGACATTGAGTTGCTGCTTTTAGTCTTGCCGTTCTCCAAGCAACTTGCCTGGCATGGTAGAACCTACAGGAACATATGTTTTAGCCAATATAGCTGGGTTGCGTCATCAAGATAGGTAAACCCGAACACCACGTCAATGTAGCAGCTACTGTCGGGTTATTCGTTAACTGGAATTATTTATTCTTTATAAACCTACAAATGACCTATTCACATTGTATTCACACAAACTTACATATACATGTCTGAAAATATATCACATTTAGAATAAACATTAGTCTGAATAATCTTTACATATAGCTATTCCAATTTAAAAATGGCGTTACTTTTTCAAGGATAACCCATAATAGTTAAATTTTTATACGATGAAAGAATTGTCTGTCTGATAATCTTGTTCCTCATTATAAAATTTAGTCATCAATCAAATGTAAGTATTAATTAAAAGACTTCTCAAATACACAGTGAATACTTACAATGAAATACTAATGTTAACGCCTAATAGATATCTTAACCATGAATGAACGTATAAATATCATATCAAAATAAAACTCAATAGTGAGTGAAAAGATATATTGTCTAAACCTTTCTCTTCAGAATAGTTGTTTGCAATGACATGAGTGGATTGATAATAATAAATTGTTTCCAAATTCAAACATTTCGTTAAAAGTAGAGTTTTTCTATTCCCTCCGTTATTAATGTCTACGTTTTTAATGGTCGTCATTATTGATGTATCCTTTCTTTAATCGGGACCTTTTTAATGGATACTAATTTTTGATTGTTACGTTATAAACTGCAAAATGTATTAAATATTGGGACAATTGAATCTAATTGGTCTATTTTAACTAACTGATGAAATCCATGGAACATTATTTTAGTAAATCCGCAGTACGTTCGAATCTGAAACTAAATTGCTTAAAGCGAATTTTCTAAGCATTAGGCCTCTGTTCTCACTGTATACAAGTTAATAACTAAGTCATCCACGTTTGGTGATCAATAAATCTCTCTATTTATTGAGTATCATTTGTAATTGTTTGTGTAATTGTCTGTTCTTTGGAAAATGTTTAGCTATTGATATTTTGGTTTTTTTCCTGTTATGACTTTTTCAGGAAGATTCAACATTGAATTCGGCATATGAAATTTTGAAGAGATGGTAATTGATTTAATGGCAAAATATTATTCCTGGATCGTGTTGGATTTGTATTCACAATCTTTTGGTTTATTTTGACTTATTCTGCCTACTACTGACTTGATTGGGTTTTTTTTCTATAGAGGATCATTTCAAATCCGGTGCTGAAATAATTACAACTTCGTACATTACGTAATAATAATGTATATTTTCATATAGAATAAATTTGTGTTTGTAACTATAAATTATTCTAAAAATTATTGAACAATACACATCAATTTATCGGGAGATAAAGTGATATAGAATAGAGAGGTAATATTTTTAAAAAAAGGGTGGTACATTATTTACAAAGTGTGAAATCTTGATATTTTGATGTTCAGCACAAGCTTTAATACAGCTGGTTGTGTTGTGTAAATTCATAAGGGTAACTAGTACACAACACTTGACCAACTAACAGGTAGAAATCAGAAAACTTGACAACTAAAGTAGACCAAGCTAAATTAAATAAAGTGGTGTAACTCCGTATACATACTAACGAAAATATGATTTTCGAACAGATAAAAATTTAGCGAACTAATTAGAAAAACGCCTAAGGTCATGGGGAAAACTGAATTAGGGAAAATAGTACTGTAGTGGGGATAACCAATTTATCAGTTAATACAAAATTACAGAATGTCTTCGTAAAATACGAAAACCATAGATTAAATACTTCACTTGCACATCTTCCATCAGTTGTCCTTTACATTCTTCTTGATTCTTCCAATTCTCGATTCCTTTGTCTTTTCCTTCTTGTTTTTTTTTCAGTTCAATCTTCTCAACCTTTCGCTTTCAGGTATTCCACTTCTAATTGGTGTTACATAATACTTTCGTCTGTCGACATAAATATTGTGGTAAATTGTTCCAGACTTGTGAAAACTCACTTATAAAGTAATTCATATAGAGAATAGATTTAGAAATAAACATCTCCTTAGTCAGTTAATGTTAAGCGCTCCAATAAACCGGAAGTAGGAGGCCATAATCCTAGATAGCAAAACACAGTCGAAATAGGTCATTAGATTGACCTTAAAACAACTTTTAAAGTATAGTGTAGAAATTGTCAAGGACTGATTCTTAAGTTTGTAAAATCCTTGAATATTAGGGAACTCAACCCTCTATCGTATACCAATTTGCTTTAACCTTGCTTCTACCCTGCTAATCTTTCATCCATTTGTTATGATAACTTATTTTTATCAATATTATGTTAATTTTCCCTTTTTTTTCGGATTATCGCTTATTTTGTTAATCCTTTATTCTTTCGACCTTTATTGGTTTTGATTTATTAATCCCTTGGTAGTTATATGTATGATTAGATTGTTTTAAATGTATATTGCAAACATGCATCACATTTTTACTCAACTTCTTAATACATCAATAGAATTTACCGAAGGTACTGATTACTGTAATTGTTATCATTGCCGTTTTAATTCACTGTATTTAGCTTTCTGACTCAGTACCTACAACTTTTTTATTCTTATCCTCATTGAGACAAGTGGTTCTAATAAAGCTGTTTACGTGCTGTCGGAATGAGATATTTTTCTGGATTAGTTAATATTATACTACATGGTATTTCTATGGTTGACATAGATCAATTCAATAAATTAAAATCGTTAAATTTCATCCAAATCCCTTTCAGAATAACATTTTAAAAAGTGTTAGTTATAACTTATGGCCGCTCACTAATATCACATGACAAAAACACTAATGGGAACCCATCTACAGCACTATAAACCTTGAGTCGACTCAGAGCTCTTATTGGTCCTCTATTTGATACTTTCCTTGGCCATTGAGTCCAGAACACAGCTAATGGACTTCGCTATACGAATAGTATATTTCGAACATGTGTGGTTCATATACAGAAGTACCCAACCACATCACACCATGAATTAAAATATAGCAAGGATAGAGCCAAAAGATGGTTGTGAGTAATGGAGACTGCGGAAAACAGATTAAGAATAGTTAAACATTTAGTATATATATATATATATATTATATATATATAATATATATATATATATATATATATATATATATATATATATATATATATGAAAAACCTAGTTATAATTATACAATAAGAATATGTACAGTAATAGTCTATAAATTAATCATGGCAGCCATCATTCATTTAGTCTTCATTGAATATAGCAGTTATTCTGATTTTTGCTTTATTTTGTATTTCAGTAATATAATAATTGACCCTTAGTAAAATAATCATTAAAAGCAATGGACAACTATTTCTTCCTAGTCTGTTCTATAATGGAAGAAAATAGTGCAGAGGTTGTAATCTCAAAACTACCTAAGAAATACTTATTGTTTAGATGTATGATCGCTAAATGTTTGGCTTATTGTTTCTTGGTATTTCCGTATTGGTAAGCTTTCTTTTGGCGCATAAACTATTATTGTATGTTTCAACTTCTTCAAATTATAGTCTTTTATTTACGTCATTATCATTTAGTTCTCTTCCACTTATGGTGTAGTTATGCATGTTTTATAATTTCTTATTTCTGTTGGTCGATTGTCAAGAATCAACTCTATATTATTGTGCTAACTAAAGTATAGGATTGAACTGTACGACAGAGGTTATACGTTTACTGTGTTCTTGTTCTACTCTGTATATCGCGAAAGTGAGCGTGGAATAACATAATCTTGGACCAGCAAGCGTTAAGTACTGGTCTTGACCGTTACCTCACAACCATTCCGTTATTGGTCAAAGGTAGATCATCGCGTCATTAATCAGCAGAAGGCTATTGTCCCTATATAGGAAATCTCGGTGAAATAATCAGTGCTCGGACTAGATCAAACAACTGTTCCTATAGATACGGGTCAATCACACAAGCCTCAACAGGGCACAAGAAACGCGTGTGTATATTATTATATCAGTATGAGTTCTCAACAGTGGACTTCCACTATTACACTGGAGCTCGGACCTAGGACCTTCAGTTCTCATAGTGAACGCTCAGTGGTGAGTGTGCACTTTGGAGTAGTCTCATACAAAGTCAAAACATTTGTTCAATGTTTCCTGGTTTCATTGGCTGTCTACCTAAAAGTTAGTTCATAGTATAAACTATCATATACAACAGTGCCTGAAAAGTCCCTTTAGTATTAATATAAAGTGAAATTTTGTGATTAATCATAACAAAAACAATTTTTAGTCTATCAGTAATTCGCACTCATTTTGGGGTGTTGATTTAAGTTTGTTTGGTGCAACGCAAGGTAAATTTCCACATCAGAAAATAACTATTTGTATTGTTCGGAAATTATTTTCCTTCTGTTTCGAGGGAGGAATTCACTAAAACAACTTCACAATTGTCACTACTTCCTCTCATAAGATTTGATGCTTAGATGTAATTACAATTACGCACATGCAACGAGGTGATGAAAATCAATAATATGAATAATTTACTCTGTACTGGTACATGCTAGAGATACAGTTATTCATAATTCAAAACACATTGTAAATGTGTCTGTTTATCAAATACGTTATTCAAGCTCAACATATGACATTAGGAACACCTTGTCAGTCAATAAGAAATGATCTGATCCAACGTAAACTATTTCTAATAGAAGAGAAGTTATAAATCAGTCAAGAAATCTATTTAAAATTTTTTTATACATGGGTGGATGTTAAGTCAGAATTTGTAGTTGTTCAGTGAAACTTCTGCATTCGACACAGTACATGGTTGTTTAAATAAATTAAACTTAGTTACTTACACTTGTCATTACTCGTGGATTATAGGCCACCGAATAGGATTCTGTAACCAACTCTGTTCTGGGCTTCCCTTTCCAGTTGTTTCCAATTGCTATTCATCCTTTTGATGCCTGCTTCTCGATGAAGTTTGATGATTTCCGCAATGTATGTCCTGTCAACTTCCGTCGTCTTTTCCTAATTTCCTCTTCAGCTGGAAGTTGGTTTGTTCTCTCACACAGTAGACTGCTGCTGATGGTATTCAGACAACAGAAATTAGGAATCTTACACAGATGTTTGTTTATAAATACTTGTACTTTTTTGATGATGTTTATAGTAGTTCTCCAAGTTTCAGCCTCAAACAATAAAACTATCTTGACGTTCGTATTGAAGATTCTGACTTTGGAGCTAATAGACAGTTGTTCTGAGTTCTATATGTTCTTCAATTGTAGAAATGCTGTCCTTGCTTTTACATTTACAAAAAGATCCTCCTTATCTATCAGTCATGCTGTCCAGGTACGTGAAACTTTTCACCTCTTTCTGAGATTCTTCATCAAGTGTGGTTAGGTTAGTGTTCTTTATGTTACATTTCAGGATCCTGTTTTTTTTTCCTTTTTGAATGTTGACGCCTGGTGTATTATTATTATTATTATTATTACTAAGTATTCCATAGGAATGATTTCATGATTATGAATAATCAAAACCAAAGAAACATTTAACTCTAATCAAGAGCTAATTATTTACTACACAGTAACAACTAACATTTATTCACTCTGAAAATCGGTCAATTAAAAGAAAATTGAAAATAAAAGATTGAAACGTGAAAATGTTTCGAACTATTATTATTATGATGCTGGGAAATCATCAACTGAGAGTAATAAAACAATCCAAATAGAAGAACAATATTATTCATTTGAATTCAGTAGAATGTTACAAATTCTTTAAAATGATTCTTTCTTCTCTTTTTTTTTTCTTTGATTGACTAAACAAACTAATGAAAAAGAACATTTGATGAATAAAACAAATAAAAATGAAATCTATTCAATATACTTAGATCATAACAAAATTTCATAGAAAAGAAAAACAAAACAACAACTTTATCATGTTATCTCTATAGGAAGATAAAAACAATTTCATAAGTGAAATATACGTTCTTTATTGAATAGTTAAAATGAATCGTTTCTCTTTTTCTTTTTTGTTCTCTTTTATTAACTTTTTTTTAAAAAGTATCTTTTTTCTTGTTTATTATATTGAATAATGGGAAAGTTGATTTGATACATTTCAGACTATAATTTTATTCTAAA